TTCAGCAGGCGCTTCTCCTTGGCAGCCGCCAGCTTCTCCCGCAGCTCCTCTCGCTGTCGCAAGGCCATAGGATTGATGACATCGGCTGTCACGGGCTCCTCCTTGGTGCCCGCCTCTGGAAGGGGGGCCCAGACGTGAGGCTATGCCCGCCCATGGCTGGTGGGGAGAGGAGGGAGCCACTCACCCTGCCCCCTTCCAGCTCAGGGGGCCAGAAGGGGTCAGGACAGGAAGGAACAATCCTTCACCTCCCTGCTCCCACTTCGTCCCCACACTCCTGGCCAACCCATGCAGCACGACAGGACCCTCAGTGGCTTCCAAAGCTCCTCAAATCGTGCTTAAAACAACAGACCCACCCCCGCACAGCCCAGTTTGCAGCAAGCGTGCACATCTTCCAGTCCATCTAACAACACCTCACAGCCAGAGTGAGTATGCGACGGCCACGGCTCTAACTCAGAGAACAAGCAGAGCCCCAGGTCCACATTATAACAGCAAGAAGGGACCTCGTGCCTTCCGGCAAATATGCATGTGTAAGACCACTAAACCGTGCTGAACCTGCCCTCTAATCCCACCTTCTTCAAAGACCCCTTCAGATGGCCCTCTCCCCTAAACCCCATCCTCAGCCCCATACTCACCCTTCTTGATGGCATTGACCTCCAAGGGTTTCAGCCCCAACTTTGCCCGGAGTTTACTGAGAACAAGAGATACAAGTGTTAGGGGCTATCAAAGACACAGGGCGCAATGTGCATTTCCAAAGAGACAGGAGGAGAAACAGGGTGGGAGTGAGCGGTCCCAAACACACGGTCTGCCCCAGGAAGCCTAGGACACTGGGAAGGGCCCTGGCCTCCAAAGCAGGAAACATGGGCGCCAGCCTGGTCTGCATCTAACCGGTAAATGCCACTTTACTTTTAGGTATTAGTTTCCTCTTCTATAACTCTACTGTTGGCTAAGATGATTTATACAACCTTTCCAACTCCAATTAGCACACTTTCATGTGAGAAAGCCTCCCCAGGGCTGGCCCCAGAGCCACCTATCTTAGAAAAACAAAGTGGAAACAAGGGAGACAGTACTCACTTGGTCTCCTCGATGCTGAGTGAGGAGGCATCGCCTGAGCTAGTTTTGGAGCTGGCAGCTGGAAGAAGAAGAAGCATGGCTCAGGAGCTGAACATAGGGCCAACAAGCCAGCATCATTGGCTCCAACTGCAGGATCAAAGATGAGGGCCCCTCACCAGCACCTGGGCCTGATGAAACACCAGCAAACAGCAGCTTCTTCCACCCAAGCTCCCCAGCAGCTCCTCTGCCCGAGTCCAGTCTCAGAGCCCTGCCTCTTCTGCGCACCTTCCTATCCTGACCCAAGAGATCGAAACTGCTACAGTCACCATTCTGCCCTCTCCTTTTTTCTTTCATTTTTTTTTTTAAGAGACAAGGTCTCTTAAAGAGATGGAGCAAGACTTTGTCTCAAAAAAAAAAAAACCTCTTCCTTTCCTGCATTCCCATCCTGTATCTTAAAGGCTCCACTCTCCACCTGGGCCCTGGATCCCAATCTCTCCAGGCTCCCCAAAGTCACCAGTCTCCTTCGTTTTTAATCTAACGGGTTCTTTTCAGTTCTGGTTTTGCTTGATCTCCTGTGGTATATGGGACTGCTGATCACTCCCTCCTTCTAACAATACTCTGTTTCCAAAGTTCCCATGACGCAAACGTTTTCCTGCCTCTTTGGTTACTCTATCTCCTTTTTTTGCTAACATCCTTCTCTGCCTACTACTAACATAAGGGCATTTCTCAGGTTCTATTCCTGACCCCGGCTTCTCACGTCGCATTCTTTCAGGGGCTTCACTGGCCACCCAGATACTGACTCCCAATGGCTTTATCCAGTCCAAACTCTGGATTTCCCTATGCACATAAACCTTGACAACCCCAAAAGTGAATTATCTTCCCCCACCCTGCTCCAAATCTCCTTCTCTTCCCTACTCCTCAATTTCAGTAGAAATGACACCCACTACCTATCTGGCTGCTCAAGCCAAAATTCAAGGAGTCATCCTCAATTCCTTCTCCTTCCCACCCTCATACAAGTGCTGAGTTCTGTTCATTCCTCCTCCAAAACACCTCTCCAACCTGTCCACTTCTCTCCACTCCACTGCTGCTGCCTTGGTGCAGGCCACCATCAGCCCTCACCTGGTCTGTAGCCCTCCTGATTTCCTGGTCTCCAATCCTGACTACCTTTGACTAAGTTCTCAATCCAGTAATGTTTACAAAATACGGATCTGAGCAACTCACTCCTCAACTCACAACCAAGGCTCCCTATTACCTTGTCAAGACAATCTACATTTCTTAACAGAGCCTACAGTACAGAGTCCTTTGTGTTCACAACCCTGCCTATCTTACTCCTTCACTTCTCTACCATGAGCCCTACACGATTCGTCCAATACGATTCGTCAAATACCAGGTTTTTCTTGCCTCTGCATATGCTGACACTACTTCATTCATTCATTCATTCAACACATTTATTGAGAATCTGTGACTGTACCAGACAACTGAGGAAAACGGAAGCCCTCTGTCCTCAAGGAGCCAGGTGGAGACAGTCTACCTCTAATCCCAAACAATCGTAGAAAAGCTTTTTTGAGACAGAGTCTCGCTTTGTTGCCCAGGCTGGAGTGCACTGGCGGGATCGCAGCACACTGCAGCCTCTAACTCCTGGGCTCATGGGATCCCGTAGAAAGACTATTTAATAAGAGTTGATATAGACTGGGGGTTTCCTGGTCCGGAGAGCTTCGCTGACACTGTGCGCACACCAAGACGCGCACGTTCCGGGACCCCTGCCCGACCCGCCCCCTGCGCAGGCCCCGCCTCCTCACCGGCCTCATAGCCGTCATCGCGTTTCTCCCGCTTCACGCGCCGCTCCGAGGGCTCTGCCTGGCTGCGCTCCCGCCCGTGCGTGCTGCTCCGGGCCTCAGCTTCGGCCCCGCGCCGCCCGCTCCCGCGCTCGCCCCCACGTTCCCGGCTCCGCTTCCGTCGTTCGCCACCGCTACCGCCACTGCCGCCACTCCGGTGCTTGTGTTTTTTGTGTTCCCGGTGCCGCGGCGGCTGCTCGGTGGCGCCCCCGGTGCCGGCCGCCGCCGTCGTCCCGGTCGCCTCCTTCTCTCCGCGGTGCTTCTTGGACGACCCCATAGTGGCACGTCCACTACAAGCCCGGCTGCCGCCGAGCCCAGACAACGCAAAATGGGAATACTTCCGGGTCGCTCGGCAGCAGCTGTCGTGTTGCCGGAAACTAAGAGCGGCTGCTTCCGTCGCTCGCCGTGGAGCCGGCCCCAGAGGCTCATGGGAAGACCGGGATCAAAGCTCCACTGCACATTCGTGCCGTCGCGGGTCGGGTGCGTTCTTTGAGCCAGTGGTCCTGTTGTGCATGCGCTCCTCAAGGGAAGCGGAATTAACCCGGAGATGGGATCCCAGAACTGGAAGGACTTAGAGGGCATTAAGCCAGTGTCTTCGTGGCTGAAAGTTCCTCCCCGGCATCCCTGCGCTTGCACTTCACCGGCAACGGGGTGTTCACTACCTCACGGCCTTTCTGTAGACACCTCCCTCCTACAATGGGCGCTCGCTTAGTGGACTTCTAGGGTCGTGGCTTCAACGGGTGTTGTTTTCCCGTTATCTCCAATTCCACAGCCCAGTTTCCGACCCGCTGTAACTAGTATCGTTAGGGAACGCTTCCTTCCCACGTTCCCTGGTTTTTTTGTTTTGTTTTGTTTTTTTCCCTTGAGATAGGATCTCACTCTTGCTCAGGCTGGAGTGCAGTGGCGCGATCACGGCGCACTGCACCCTTGACCTCCCGGGCTCAAGTGATCCTACCCCGTCAGCCTTCCCAGTAGCTGGGACTACTACGAGTGAATGCTACCACGCCCCTTTAATTTTTGTATTTTTTTGTAGATGGGAGGGGGGTGTCTCGAACTCCTGAAGCCAGGCTATCCACCCGCCTTGGCCTCCCGAAGTGCTGAGATTACAGGCATGCGCCGCTGCGCCCAGCCCTGGATTGGATTTTTTAAACCCGCGCCCCGTGAACTGTTAAGACTGAAGGAGTGCCACATGAGCGTCAGTGTATCCGTGGAACCCCTGAAATTGAATGCAAAATGTGGCACATCTGTGTGTGAGTTTTTTTCTTGAGGAGAGGAGCCCTAACTTAAAACTACTGGGACTTAAAACCCCAGTGCAGGCCGGGCGCGGTGGCTAACGCCTGTAATCCTAGCACTTTGGGAGGCCGAGGCAGGCGAATCACAAGGTCAAGAGATCGAGACTATCCTGGCTAATCCGGTGAAACCCCGTCTCTACTAAAAAATACAAAAAACTAGCCGGGTGAGGTGGCAGGCGCCTGTAGTCCCAGCTACTCCGGGAGGCTGAGGCAGGAGAATGGCATAAACCCAGGAGGCGGGGCTTGCAGTGAGCTGAGATCTGGCCACTGCACTCCAGCCTGGGCGACAGTGCGAGACTCCGTCTCAAAAAAAAAAAAAAAAAAAAAAAAAAGAGATTGAGACCATCCTGGCCAATGTGGTAAAACCCCGTCTTTACTAAAAATACAAAAATTAGCTGGGTGAGGTGGCAGGCGCCTGTAGTCCCAGGTACTCAGGAGGCTGAGGCAGGAGAATGGCGTGAACCCGGGAGGCGGAGCTTGCAGTGAGCCGAGATCACGCCACTGCACTCCAGCCTGGGCAGCAGAGCGAGACTCCGTCTCAAAAAAAAAAAAAAAAAAGCCCAGTGCACACAATCCCAATCGGTCCTGAAACCCCTCCCCTCACGCAATGGTTGCTCAGTCTGCGGCTCCCTGCCTTGCACAACTCAACATGTGTTAGGATATGAGCGTGTGTTAGGATGTGAGCGTGTGTTGGGATATGAGTATGTGTTAAGATATAAGCGTGTGTTGGGATGTGAGCGTGGGTTGGGATATGTATGCACCCGTTTAAGGGCCCACTCCCTCTCCCACTCACTGGGCGTCCTCAGAGGCAGGAGTCATTCCATCTTATTCACGCTTGCATTTATAGGACCCAACATACACATTGAAGATGGGGTGGAGAAGTTACAGCTCTTGCTCTTCGAGATGTCCCCACTCCTCAGGAGCAGAGAAGGGGCTGTGTGTGCTGGGTGGAGGGAACCAAAAGAGCCAGAGCTCCTGGAGGGGAGGGGGTGTGGGGACAGAGCTAAGCCTGCTGCCCACCCACCTGCCCCCTCCCACTTCCAACCCATAGCCTCCACCACCACCACCAGCAGAAATCCCACACTGTGTTTCCCATAAAGCCTTTAATTTTATCTCAGAAACTGCACTCCGGGTCCAGGCTGGGCTTGTAGTGCCTGTCAGGCTGGCTGCCGGTGGGTTCTGTCCTTGGGGGCCTCTGAGGAGAGTGCTCCATTCTCACCCCCATTGACCTGTGGCTCCTTCAAGACACAGATAGAGGCCCCTGGCTCTGCAGTTCTCACCCCCATGCCCAAGGAAACCACTGACAATGTGGCTTCAAACCCTGCTCCTGTACTGGCTTGCTGTGTGATCCTGAGCAAAGTGACTCTCCCTTCTCGAGTCTCACTTTCCTTATTGCCAAGTGGGCCTCATAATCCCTGCTCTGTACCAGGTTATTCTAAGACATGGGGTGACCAGCGTGGTGGTGCCAGCCCCTAATGAGAGCTTGGTGTGTGGCTGCTCACGTGGTTGCAGAGTCCCAGACTAGCTCTGCTGCTTGTTCGCTCCTGTGTCCTTAAACATGGCCCTGCCCCTCAGGTCCTTAGTTTCCTCGTTGAGAAGTAGGAATGACAACCCTGGCCTTGCCTTCCTCTGGGCTCTCTGCCTGTCCTGGGGGAGGCCCTCCAGAGCCCAGAGTGCTGGTGTGGCCGCCCCTTCCCACAGCAGCATGGCAGGGCCAGTTCTTGACCTGCCGGGGAGACTCACCTGGGTTTCCTGGGGGTGCCATCTCTGTCCACCTTTCCTGCCTCAGACAGCAGCTGCTCTTCATCCAGCCCTAGTGCTGACAGCACCTGGGAGAAGCGCCGAGTGACAGTGAGCCGGGCATTGGCCTGAGGAGAGAGAAGAGGGTTTCTCGCTCTGCACCAGGGCTGCCAAGGGCAAGGTGGGGCTCTGCTTACTGAGGGAGTCCCAGGGATTCCAGAGGGCAGCAGCCCTGGGATCCTATCTGCAGGGACCTACTCGCATCCTGCTTCCCTGACCCACTCAGCCAGTTCTTCACAGGGGGCAGCTGTGTGCTTGTCCAGGTGCCAGCCTCACCTGCATGGCCTGCTGGAACAGGAAGGGCCGGGCCTGCACCCTGTGCTGGATGCCTTGCAGCTCCGCTTGGTACTCAGCAAAGCGTTGTCGCTCCTGGCGCCTGCAGGGGAGACAGGCCTTTGTGCAGCTAACCATGGACACAACTGTTGATCTCCACTCCTGAGCCGGCTCATCTTCACTAAAGATTTGATATTCACGTCCTCACCCTCACCTTTACAAAGCTATTTCATTCCCATTCTGGCCTGGATTGCTTGTGAAGTCAGCCAGGGTGGAAATTATTCACCCAGTTTACTGATGGCTCAGGAGGGTTGAGGGACTTGTTCAAAGTTGTGCAGCTGGGAAATGAGGGGCCGAGCCCTGGGCAGCTGGGCCTTGCCAATCTTCCTGTGCCACCCCCATGGGAAAGGGACCAGTACTAGCTTCTGAGCTTCCAGACACCTGCTTACATAGCCTTCCCTCCCCATCCTCTTCCCCTTGAGGGGGAGCTGTGGTTGTTGGTTGTGTGACTTTGGGCGAGGCCTCTCTCTGGGCTCTTGGCTCTGGGCTCAGTTTATTTCACTGTGCTATATAGCAGGGATCGGACAAGCTTGCCAGCATTCTCTCTGGTTCTTATAAGCAGACAGCTTGGAAAATGGGACAGAGAAACTAAAAAATATATATATTTCAAATTTAAAAAACACACCCTGGAGAGATCAGGGTTCCACTGGGGAAGCACAGTTTTCATTTCTAAAAACCCAGCATGGCTGGGCGCGGCAGCTCGCACCTGCCATCCCAGCACTTTGGAAGGCCAAAGAGGGTGGATCACTTGAGCCCAAGAGTTTGAGACCAGCCTGGGCAACATGGTGAAATCCTGTCTCTACAAAAATTAGCCAGGCGTGGTGGTGTGCCCCTGTAGTCCTGGCTAGTTAGGAGGCCAAGGTGGGAGGATTGCTTGAGCCTGGGAGGTCTAGGCTACAGAGAGCTGAGATTGTGCCACTGCACTCCGGCCTGGGCAACAGAGCAGAGACCCTGTCTCAAAAAACCCAAAACCCAGTTTGTGCACTTGTCACAAATGTGTCTGCTTGACAAACTTGAGTGTCACTGCCACTCCTGAAGAGAGCACCCTAGCAGCAAGAAGGGCCTTTGGGCCACAGCCCACGTGGGACCAGGCATCCATCTGTGAAGCACATAAGAGAGGCCTTGAGGTATGGAGGCAGCACCCATGGACAGGAAGGGAGGGGAGACGCAGACAAGACCCCAAGACCTGTGCTGGGACCTCAGCAAGTGTGCTGGGCCCTGTGGAAAAACGCAGCCTTGCTGGGCCATGCCCCTTGGCCCTGTGCCAGGGAGGGAACCGTCCTCCATTGAGAAAAAGACACAGATTTGAAAACCCATGGCCAGAAACGCAAGTTACTGCAAAAAAGGGCTTTCACTATTTAGGGAGGAATTTATGGCAGTTACAAGGGGAGGTGGGAAATGAGTTGGCAGTCCCTATCTTTTCTGTGATAGTTTGTGCACTTTTCCTGCTGGATGCTTTATGCTATTTCTGTTAGAGGTGACAGGAGCCGGCCAAAGCAGGCAGATATCGAGGTCAGGAGATTGAGACCCTCCTGGCCAACATGGTGAAACCCCGTCTACCAAAAATACAAAAATTATCTGGGAGTGGTGGCATGCGCCTGTAATCCCAGCTACTCAGGAGGCTGAGGCAGGAGAATCGCTTAAACCAGGGAGTTGGAGGTTGTGAGGCGAGGTCGCACTGCTGCACTCCAGCCTGGCGACAGAGTGAGACTTTGTCTCAAAAAAACAATGACAGGAGCCCAGAGCAGAAAGGGAAGTGGTGTCTGTGGGTGTCAGCCCGTGCATCATCTCAGAATGGAAGGAAGACACATGCCTCCCTCCCACAGGACAATCTCTTTTGTGCCCGCCCTTCCTAGGCAAGACATAGTCTCCTGTTCCACTCAGACAGTGAAGTTCACAGGCTGTAAGGGCTGAGAGACTGCATGGGAGATATCTACTTATGCCTTAACCCTCTCAAATAGAAAGTAAAAGAAGTGAGGTTGAATAACTCTTTTTGCTGCACCTGCCACTTGGAGTTCTGAACCTTACACTTCCTGCCTTACTATGAAAACAAAACACTTGGCTGGGCGCGGTGGCTCATGCATGTAATCCCAAAACTTTGGGAGGCCGAGGCAGCCAGATCACTTGAGGTCAGGAGTTTGAGACAGCTGGGGCAATATGGTGAAACCCTGTCTCTACCAAAAATAGAAAAAAATTGACCAGGTGTGGTGGTCTGCACCTGTGGTCCCAGCTACTCAGGATGCTGAGGCAGGAGAATCACTTCAGCCCGGGAGATGGAGGTTTCTTTTTTTTTTTTTTTTTTTTTGAGACGGAGTCTTGCTCTGCCGCCCAGGCTGGAGTGCAGTGGCCGGATCTCAGCTCACTGCAAGCTCCGCCTCCTGGGATCACGCCATTCTCCTGCCTCAGCCTCCCGAGTAGCTGGGACTACAGGCGCCCGCCACCTCGCCCGGCTAGTTTTTTGTATTTCTTAGTAGAGACGGGGTTTCACCGTGTTAGCCAGGATGGTCTCGATCTCCTGACCTCGTGATCCACCCGTCTCGGCCTCCCAAAGTGCTGGGATTACAGGCTTGAGCCACCGCGCCCGGCCGAGATGGAGGTTTCAGTGAACTGAGATCACGCCACTGCACTCCAGCCTGGGCAACAGAGCGAGATTGGGAAGGAGAAAGGGTCCCCCTCAACATTGGCCCAAGCAGTCCCCAAAACACACTTGACCTCTCAGAGCCTCTGTTTCCAAATCTGTAAAATTGGAGTGATTAAGACTGAGCCTTGGCTGGGCGCAGTGGCTCATGCCTGTAATCCTAGCACTTTGGGAGGCTGAGGTGGGTGGATCACCTGAGGTCAGGAGTTCGAGACCAGCCTGACCAACATGGAGGAACCCTGTCTCTACTAAACATACAAAATTAGCCGGGCGTGTAGGCACACGCCCGTAATCCCAGCTACTCAGGAGGCTGAGGCAGGAGAATCACTTGAACCTGGGAGACAGAGGTTGCAGTAAGCCGAGATCACGCCATTGCACTCTAGCTTGGGCAACAAGAGTGAAATTCCATCTCAAAAAAAAAAACAAAAAAAACTGAGCCTCAAAGAGTAGATGATAAGAACCCTGCTGAGCCATCAGTGGCCCTATGGCAGGGCAGGACCCTCACCCCACTTGCCATGGACCAAAGGAGACAGGGTGCAGAAAAATATGCCCTGCGCCCACTGCACCCAGGAGGTACTCAAATCAGTGGCACTAGTTTTGGTCATATTTATTTGTGTTACCTGTTTCACTAGTTTGGGCTCTTGGGGGAAGGTCCTGGTGCCTTTCGTCTAAAGGCTGAGCATTTGAGCACTCAGACAGGGCAGCAATGTGGCTGGAACCCAATTCTGCTGCCCACGCATGACCTGTGGCAAATTATTTAAGATCTCTGAGCCTTCGGTTCCTCACCAGTGAGGTTATGCAGGTGGAGATACCGAGGTAGGATAGTAAGGTAAGCGGGCCACACTGACTTGTCCCTTTGTGTGAGGCCCCAGGGGCTCCTTTCGCAGTAGCTCTGTATCCCCTGTGCCCTCGTGCATCAGCACCTAACTCTTTTTTTTTTTTTTTTTTTTTTTGAGACTAAGTCTCTCTCCATCACCCAGGCTGGAGTGCAATGGTGCAATCTCGGCTCACTGCAACCTCCGCCTCCCGGATTCAAGCGATTCTCCCAAGTATCTGGGATTAACAGTCGTGTTCCACTACCCCTGGCTAATTTTTGTATTATTATTATTTTTTTTTTTTTTTTAGTAGAGACGGGGTTTCACCATGTTGGCCAGGCTGGCCTCGAAATCCTGACCTCAGGTGATCCAACTGCCTTAGCCTCCCAAAGTGTTGGGATTACAGGCCGGAGACACAGGGCCCAGCTGAGCACCTAAGGCTTTTGCAAGATAAGCAGTCCTAGGGGATACAGATGGCTACAAGTTCCCTGATAGCACAGCCCAGGAAAGAAAACAAAAGCCCCTTATTCAGAATGTAGCTTCCCCAATCTCCAGCCAATCAGCACCAAAAGCCTGAGAAGCTGTTAGCTACAAATTCCTGCCTTGGAGGGAGCTAAGGACTTCTCGGGGTTCCGCATACACAGCTAGGCTCAAGGTTGTGGTTATAGCAACATTTTCCTTATTTTAATAGTAAAAAACACACCCCTAGGTAGAGATTTTATATGCTAATGTTTCATGTGATGCACGTTAGAGTATGCAGATGTTGAGCGCATGAGCCAACCACAGGTCCACTTTTACATACCTGACCTCACCAGTATTTTGTGACTAGGTATAAACAACTCCCATAAAAGGAAATCCTCTTAAGGCACAAGCTGCCGTCTCTCCCTCTGAGCAGTCCTCAGGGTGGGCCTTTTTTTTTTTTTTTTTTTTTTTTTGAGTCGGAGTTTTCGCTCTGTCACCCAGGCTGGAGTGTAGTGGCGCAATTTCAGCTCACTGCAACCTCCACCTCCTGGGTTCAAGCGATTCTCCTGCCTCAGCCTCCCGAATAGCTGGGATTACAGGTATGTGCCACCACACCCTGCTAAGTTTTGTATTTTTTGTAGAGATGAGGTTTCACCATGTTGGTCAGGGCGGCCTTTGCTTTGCAATAAACTTTTTGCCTGCTCTTCCTTTGGACTTGCTCTCAAATTATTTTGTGTGGCCAAAGGAAGAACCTGACCTGGCCCACTGGCAGCAATACTGCCTGTTTCACGGACCTGTTAGGAGTCCAAAAAGGTTTGCCCACAAATTTGCTTATTAGGAAAATGGTCACGGCCAGGCGCAGTGTCTCACACCTGTAATCCCTGCACTTTGGGAGGCCAAGGCGGGTGGATCACGAGGTCAGGAGATTGAGACCATCCTGGCTAACACGGTGAAACCCCGTCTCTACTAAAAATAAAAAATGAAATAAAAATTTTAAAAAAAATTAGCCGGGCTTGGTGGTGGGCACCTGTAGTCTCAGCTACTTGGGAGGCTGAGACAGGAGAATGCCGTGAACCCGGGAGGTGGAGATTGCAGTGAGTCGAGATCGTGCTACTGCACTCCAGCCTGGGTAACAGAGCGAGACTCCGTCTGAAAAAAACAAACAAACAAAAAAAAGAAAATGGTCACAATATAGGAAGAGAACAAAATGCGACTCTTCAGCTGACTGTGAACAATGGCTGTCTCCCAGAGTGGAGTCACAGGGCTGTTCGCCTTCTCCAGGCATTATTTCTGTAATCTTTGAAATTTTATAACAAGCATGTCTGGCATTGGAAATCAGGAAATGAAGGTTTGAAAAAGGGTAATCATACATGATGCATATTTTAACCTTGACCATTCAACAGCTGCAGAGATTGTCATTATTAACTGGGTGGCCTTCCATGGACCCCTTCTCCCCATGACTCAGCGTCCTTATCTGGAAGCGCAGTGAAGTGGCCTGGCCAGCCCCAGGGAAGGCAAGGACTGGTGCTCCCCAGTCCTATAGACTGAGACTTGGCACGGCCTCCCTGCCTTCTCCCAACCAGGCCTCCCCAAGCCCAGGCTCCCTACCTCAGCTCCTCCAGCTTGCGCTGGGCCGCCCCAGGGCCCCGGCTCCCTCTGGGTGCGTAGGCTGCCAGGCAGCGGGCCACTTGCCGCTGTACATGCTGCGTTCGGGCCCGCCGCAGCTCGGCCTGCTGCCGCTCCTCCTGCCGCTGCCGCTCCCAGGCCTGCAGCAGGCTCCTTGGGTGAGAAAAGGAAGGGGAATGAGAGGTTTATGGGCAGCAGGAGCCTCACAGAGGGCCAGGGGCTGGATAAGGGAATATGGGAGCCTGTGGGGAGGGGCTGCAGGGTCCACAGCCAGTGTCCTGGGAGTAGGGTTTGTCATGGAAGTCCACGACAGAGACTGCCCTGGAGGCTCAGCCCTCGGGCCCAGCTCAAGGCCTTTCCCTACTCATTCTAGAAGTCTCCTGCTTGCAGGCCAGGCGCGGTGGTTCATGCCTGTAATCCCAGCACTTTGGGTGGTGGAGGCAGGTGGATCACCTGAGATCAGGAGTTCGAGACCAGTTTGGCCATCATGGTGACAGCCCGTTTCTGCTAAAAATGCAAAAATTAGCCAGGCGTGGTGGCACATGCCTGTAATCCCAGCTACTCAGGAGGCTGAGGCAGAAGAATCGTTTGAACCCGGGAAGCAGAGGTTGCAGTGAGCCGAGACCCCGCAATTGTAATCCAGCCTGGGCAAAAAGAGCAAAACTCCATCTCAAAAAAAAAAAAAAAAAGAAAAAAGAAAAAAAAAAAGAAGAAAAAAAAAGAAATGAAGGGTGTTTTGGAAAAATTAATAATGTTAAAATGTCCATATTATCCAAAGCAATTTACAGATTCAGTGCAAGCCTATCAAAATTCTAATGACATTTTTCACAGAAATAGAAAAAAATAATTTTAAATTAATATAGAACCATGGAATACTCCAAACAACCAAAGCAATCTTGAGCCAAAAAAAATAGGCTGGGCATGGTGGCTCACACCTGTAACCCCAGCACTTTGGGAGGCTGATGCAGGTGGATCACTTGAGCCCAGGAGTTTGAGACCAGCTTCAGCAACATGATGAAACCCCGTCTGTACTACACATACAAAAAATTAGCCAGGCGTGGTGACCCAGACCTGTAGTCCTAGCTACTTGGGAGGTTAAGGTGGGAGAATTACCTGAGCCCAGGAAATCAAGACTGCAGTGAGCCATGATTGAGCCACTGCACTCCAGCCTGGGCGACAGATTGAGACCCTGCCCCACACACACACACACACACACACACACACACACACACACACACACAGAAAGAAAGCTTAATGACACTTGTCTGGGCAATGGTTTTTTGGATATGACCCAGAAAGCACAGGCAACAGAAGCAAAAATAGACAAATAAAGTTGCCTCAAACCGAAAAGCTTCTGCACAGCAATGGCAACAATCAACAGATATGACATATAGAATGGGAAAAAATATTTGCAAACCATACATCTGAAAAGGGGTTAATATCGAAAATATGTGAACTCAAATAACTCAGTAACGAGAAAGCAAATAACTCAATTAAAAAATGGGCAAAGGCTAGGCACGATGGCTCATGCCTGAAATTCCAGCACTTTGGGAGGCCAAGGCGGGCGGATCATTTAAGGTCTGGAGTTCGAGACTAGTCTGGCCAACATGTCGAAACCCTGTCTCTACTAAAAAATACAAAAACGTTAGCCAGACCTGGTGGTGCCTGTCTGTAATCCCAGCTACTCAGGAGGCTGAGGCAAGAGAATCGCTTGAACCTGGGAGGTAGAGGTTGCAGCAAGCCAAGATTATGCCACTGCACTCCATCCTGGGTGATGAAGTGAGGCTCCATCTCAAAAAAAAAAAAAAGGCAAAGAGGCAGGGCATGGTGGCTCATACCTGTAATCTTGACACCTTGGGAGATGGAGGCAGCAGGATTGCTTGGAGCCAGGGGTTGGAGACCAGCCCGGGCAACATAGCAAGACACCATCTCTACAAATAAAAAGTTAAAAAATAAGTCAGCTGGGCTGGGCACGGTGGCTCAAGCCTGTAATCCCAGCACTTTGGGAGGCCAAGACGGGCGGATCACGAGGTCAGGAGATCGAGACCATCCTGGCTAACACAGTGAAACCCCATCTTTACCAAAAAAATACAAAAAACTAGCCGGGCAAGGTGGCGGGCGCCTGTAGTCCCAGCTACTCGGGAGGCTGAGGCAGGAGAATGGCGTAAACCCGGGAGGCGGAGCTTGCAGTGAGCTGAGATCTGGCCACTGCACTCCAGCCTGGGCGACAGAGCGAGACTCCGTCTCAAAAAAAATAAAAAAGAAAAAAGAAAAGGTAGCTGCACTCCTATGTTCATTGCAGGAATATTCACAGTAGCAAAGATCTGAAATCAACCTCAGATTCCATCAACAGATGAACAGATAAAGAAAAGGTGGTATATATACACAATGACATTCTTCAGCCTTAAAAAGAAGAAACTCCCGTCATTTGCAACAACATGAATAAACCTGGAGGACACTATGTTAAGTTAAATAAGTCAGGCACAGAAAGACAAATACCATATAATCTCCCTTATGTGTCAAATCTTTAAAAAGTCAAACTCAGCATAACGGGACCCTCTCTCTCCAAAAAATTTAAAAATTAGCCAGCGGCCGGGCGCGGTGGCTCATGCCTGTAATTCCAGCACAATGGGAGGCTGAGGTGGGCAAATCACGAGGTCAAGAGATAGAGACCGTCCTGGCTAACACGGTGAAACCCCGTCTCTACTACAAATACAAAAAATTAGCCGGGCGTGGTGGCGGGTGCCTGTAGTCCCAGATACTCGGGAGGCTGAGGCAGGAGAATGGCGTAAACCTGGTGAAATCCTAGTGAAACATAGTGAAACCTCGTCTCTACTAAAAATACAGAAATTAGCCAGGTGTGGCGGTGCGTGCCTGGAGTCCCAGCTACTCAGGAGGCTGAGACATGAGAATCACTTGAACCCAGGAGGCAGAGGTTGCAGTGAGCCGAGATTGCACCACTGTAGTCCAGTCTGGGTGACACAGTAAGACTCTGTCTCAAAAAAAAAAAAAAGAATTGTGGGGTGCATAAGAATGCTGAATGAGGCTGGGCGCGGTGGTTCACGCCTGTAATTCCAGCACTTTGGGAGGCCGAGACGGGCGGATCACGAGGTCAGGAGATCGAGACCATCCTGGCTAACCCGGTGAAACCCCGTCTTTACTAAAAATACAAAAAAAAAATTAGCCGGGCGCAGTGGCGGGCGCCTGTAGTCCCAGCTACACGGGAGGCTGAGGCAGGAGAATGGTGTGAACCCAGGAAGCGGAGCTTGCAGTGAGTGGAGATTGCACCACTGCACTCCAGCCCGGGCAACAGAGCAAGACTCCATCTCAAAAAAAAAAAAAAAAAAAAAGAATGCTGAATAAACTCTCCCCTGCCCTCACATGCCACCTGTCACCAGTCACCAAGGCCTATTGAACCAGCCTCTAAGTGTCTCTTAAATGGATCCCCTTCCTCCATCCACAGGGCCTCCTTTTTCAGGGCCTTATGGTTCCTCACCTCAGTGTTGCCAACAGTCTCCTCACGGCCTCCAGTCTCCCCTTCAGCTCCCACTATCTCCTTTGCTTTAGAAACAGAATCTTGCTCTGTTGTTCAGACTTGAATGCAGTGATGTGATCATGACTCACTGCAGCCTTGAACTCCTGGGCTCAAGAGATCCTCCTGACTCAGCCTCTAGAGTAGCTGGGGCTACAGGCACTTTCCACCAAGCCAGGCTAATCTTTTTTTCCTTTGTAGACACAGGGGTCTCGCCATGTTGACCAGACTGGGTTTTTGTTTGTTTGTTTGTTCGTTTGAGACAGTCTCACTCTGTCACCCAGGCGGGAGTGTAGCGGTGCAATCTCGGCTCACTGCAACCTCCACCTCCCAGGTTCAAGTGACTCTCATGTCCCAGCCTCCTGAGTAGCTGGGACTCCAAGCACGCACCACCATACTTGGATAATTTTTTTATATTTTCAGTAGAGACAGGGTTTCACCATGTTGCCCAGGCTGGTCTCAAACTCTTGAATTCAGACAATCTGCACGCCTTGGCCTTCCAAAGTGCTAGGATTATAGGCGTGAGCCATCGCACCCGGCCCCTTAACTTACTTTTTAGAGACAGTGTCTCACTCTGTTGCCCATGCTGAGTGCAGTGGCTGGATCATAGCTCGCTGCAGTCTTGATCTCCTGAGCTCAAGAGATCCTCCTGCCCCCGCCTGCTGAGTGGCTGGGACTACAAGCATGTGTCACCATGTCCAGCTAGTTCCAAGTCTTTTAATAGTTACATCCTAAGGGCCCAGGAGTAGATAATAAATATTGTATTAATCACTTAGTTAATAGTTTAATGGATGGATAGAAGAAAAGATGGGAAAAAAACGTGGCTGTATCAGTAGATAATTGGCCAGGTATTCAGAGAGATGGGTGAACGGTTGAGTGGATGTTATCAGTAGTTGGATGGATGGATGGATGGATGATCCAAAAGTTTGGTGAATGGATAAATAAAGAAATGAATGAGAGTTCAAATGCCTAAGCGTCTCTTGGAGAACCAGCTCCATCTCTACTTCTCACCGTGGGCTCCCACTCCCTTCTCTTCCCTCTTACCTGGTGGCTTCCTGTCGTTTGTGGAAGGTGCGATTGGGGAGGTTGGCAGACAGGAAAGTTTCATTGTCTTCCGAGGCATAGGTCTTTCCATTCTGCTTGGAGGCCTGGAAGGCAGCCCTCAAAGCCTTCCAGGGCTGCTTTTGGGGGCCTGCCCACAGTGGGACCAAGTCAGGGGTTGCCTCTCTCTCCCAGGCTGCTGGGCAATCCCCGCAGCACCCAGAACACAGCCCAGCCTGCCTGAGCCCAGCCTCCCTGACTGCTCCCTGTTCCCCACAGTGTAGCTTCGGGGGAACCCGGGCCCCGAGTTGCACGCTCACCACAGTCCAGGTCTCTCTGTAGCTGCCTGTGCAGCTTCTCCAGGTCCCATGGCCCCTGCAGCTCCCTGGCCCTTGTCTTCCTCCTCTGTGGCCTTTGGAGGTTGTTGAAGCTGGGGCTGCTCCCCTGGCTCTGGCCCTGCAGTTCCCCTTCATCCGAGGCCTCCTCTCCGGAAATCTGCCCCTTTTTCTGACAACCAGCCCTCCTTCTGCAGGGAGCGCTGTGCTCTCCCTCCTCAGCCTCCTCTGTGGCCTCTGAGAATTGCTCCTCCTCTGAGATGGACCCCCTCCTGGGGCGCTGGGGCGGCTCCCCAGAACTCAGACCCCTCTCAGCCTCCTCAGCACCCGGGCCTTGCAGCTGGACCTGCTTGTCGGACGCCGATCCTGATCCTGGCCTCCTCCCAGGCGGCTGGAGGCCACACTCACTGGTGGGCTCTGGTCCTAGCTCCCCTTTGCCAGGAGGCATGGAGACACCACCCCAGGCTCCCAGTTGTTGTCTCGCCTTCAGGTTTTGCGCCTCTGTCTTCCGGCAGCAGCCATAGGCCTCTGGGAGGTTGGCCGTGGACTTGCGCCTGGACTGGCGCTGGGAGGATGAGGAGGGCATGGGCAGGGCTTGGTGGCCTGGGGTTGGGGAACTTGGCTGAAGCACAGCCCGGACATCTGTGGCGATGCTCTCCCAGGCCCACTGGAAGGGGAAGGAGGGCTTCCGAGGAGGAAGGCGAAAGAGACTGAGGAAGGACAGGGTGGGGGTCAGGGTCAGCACCAGCCCCCAGAGAGCCCTGACCCCCAGCACCCTCCTGACCCATCCCACTGCTCCTTACTCTTCAGCCTCTTCAGAGCCCTGTCCTTTCTTGCTCTGGCCCCTGGGCTTGTGGTCCTTCTTTGCTGTCTGCCTTGAGCTCTGAGACCTCCGCTGCAGGTCCTGATTTGGCACACCATCACCACTCCCCAGGCGGCCCTGGGCAGAGACATTAGGGGAGGAGCAGCCAGCTCAAGCAGCCTCCTGGACTGTGTTGCACCTCACCCGGGTGCCCTCCTCTTCTGTGCACCTGGCTGGCCCTGGCTGGGCCCCTCTGGGCCCTCGTTACCGTAAAAACCAACCAAACAGGGCAGGGTGCGGTGCTCACGCCTGTAATCCCAGCACTTTTGGGAGGCAAAGGGGGGCGGATCACCTGAGGCTGGGAGTTTGAGACCAGCTTGGCCAACATAGTGAAACTAAGTCTCTACTAAAAATACAAAAAAAAAAAAAAAAATTAGCCGGGTATGGTGGCCTGCACCTGTAATCCCAGCTACTTGGGAGGCTGAGGCAGGAGAATCGCTTGCACCTGGGAGGTGGAGGCTGCAGTGAGCTGAGATTACGTCACTGCATTCCAGCCTGGGCAACAAGAGCAAAACTCAGTGTCAAAAAAACAAAAAACAAAACAAAAAAACCTGACTGAACACCACCTCCATTCTGCATATTAAAATAGCAACAGCCACCACCTGCTGAGCACCTACTGTGCGTTCAGGACTTTCATGCATAAACACACCTTCCCAAGGACCCTAGGAGGCTGGTACTCATCATCACCCCCATCACTTAGAGGAGAAAGCTGAGGCTCAGAGAGGCTGAGTAACTGAGGTCACACAGCTGGGAAGTGGTGGCGCCCAGGTTTGTTACCATTGCACTAGGCCGCCTCTGGGCCCTGGACTGCACTCCCAAATGTCCCATTGGGCCCTGGACCTGCTACAGCCAAGGTAGAAACCAAGGTGATTTTCTTTTTTTTTTTTTTTTTTTTTTTTTTTTTTTGAGACAGAGTCGCTCTGTCACCCAGGCTGGAGTGCAGTGGCCGGATCTCAGCTCACTCCTGGCACCTCCCGGGTTCACGCCATTCTCCTGCCTCAGCCTCCTGTGGGATACAGTGCCCACCACCTTGCCCGGCTAGTTTTCGTATTTTTAGTAGAGGAAGCGGGGTTCACCGTGTCAGCCAGGATGGTCTCGATCTCCTGACCTCGTGATCCGCCGATCTCGGCCTCCCAAAGTGCTGGGATTACAGGCAGTACAGCGCCCGGAGCCACCGCGCCCGGCCTTCCAAGGTGATTTTCATCAAGGTGGTCTTAATCTTTCCTGAAACGCTGCTCCTCCCACAGTGTTCCCTGAATCACCCCATCATCCCGGGGAGTCACCCACAGGCGTCATCCCTCAGCTTCTCCCAAGATCTTTAGGCCTCCATGTGGTCCCTGTTCCACTCCTGCCTCCCTGACTTTCACCTGGATCTCAGCTCAGGTCTCGTGGCTTCTCAAGGGCCTCCCCAGCCCAGGCCTCCCTGACCCAAGGCAGCCCACCTGGCTCTGGGCAGCTGGAAGTGCCCCCACTGGGCCTACCTCACCTGCTTGTCCTGAGAGATGGTCGACAGCAGCTTGAGCAGCCTGGTGCTGGTTCCCGGAGCCTGAAGCCGCATGTCCTGCCCTGGTCGTGCCAACGGGGTCCTAACCAACTGTTGGTAGGTATTTAGCATATTGGTGTCCTGCCCCATCCTGCCCCATCCCCCATCCCCACCGTGGAACTGCCCAACAGGCCATCTCTATGGCAACCAGTCCTCAGCCAGTCTCAAGGGGTCTGGCAAAAAGCATACTAGGAAGGGGTCAGTGGGGTATGTGAGGCCAATCTCCTTCTAAGGGAGAGCTCAGCAGGGTGCCCAGGAGTCGTTCAGTGCAGAGACCCAGGCCCAAGTCCTGCCTCTGCTCCTGCCTCATCCACAGGCTCCCCATGTAACCTGGTGTAAGTCCTCTGTCCCCACTCCACCTGTGTTTCCCCATCCATCTGTACAGGGGAGTCAGTCTGTCTCCTGTGCTGCCCCCCAGGCCCGGCAAAGTCCCTGAAGGAGCCAAACTGAGATATGGCTCCTTCAGGGACTTGATTCACAAGATTTTTCACAAGATTTTGTTTCAATCCTTGCACTCCCAGGTTGGGAGCGGTGGCTCATGCCTGTAATCCCAGCACTCTGGGGGGCTGAGGCAGGTGGATCACTCGAGGCCAGGAGTTCAAGACCAGCCTGGCCAAAATGGCAAAACCCCATCTCTACCAAAAATGCAAAAAAAAATTAGCCAGGCATGGTGGCGCATACCTGTAATCCCAGCTACTCAGGAGGCTGAGGCACAAGAATCGCTTGAACCCGGGAGGCAGAGGCTGCATCAAGCCCAGATTGCACCACTGCACTCCAGCCGGGGCGACAGAATGAGACTCTGCCTCAAGAAAAAAAAAACAAATAAACAAATCTTTGCACTCCCAGCCCCAGCCAGGAAGTCGAACGCTGTATCCAGGAGAGAGGCAGCAGAGAGGCCATTCAGAGCCTGGGCCCAGGCCCACCTAGCCATCTTCATAGGCCATGAGGTTCTGGAGGGAGTTAAAACATTGAACGCAGGGCCGGGCGCGGTGGCTCAAGCCTGTAATCCCAGCACTTTGGGAGGCCGAGACGGGCGGATCACGAGGTCAGGAGATCGAGACCATCCTGGCTAACACGGTGAAACCCCGTCTCTACTAAAATACAAAAATCTAGCCAGGCGAGGTGGCGGGCGCCTGTAGTCCCAGCTACTCAGGAGGCTGAGGCAGGAGAATGGCGGGAACCCGGGAGGCGGAGCTTGCAGTGAGCTGAGATCCGGCCACTGCACTCCAGCCTGGGTGACAGAGCAAGACTCCATCTCAAAAAAAAATAAATAAATAAATAAATAAAATAAAATAAAAAAATAAAACATTGAACGCTTACTCCAGGCCAGGCGGTGGCTATAATCCCAGCACTTTGGGAGGCCGAGGTAGGTGGAGTGCCTGAGGTCCGGAGTTCGAGACCAGTCTGGTCAACATGGTGAAACTCCATCTCCCACCTGGACTGAAACTCCATCTCACTAAAAATACAAAAATTAGCTGGGTGTGGTGGTGGGCATCTGTAATCCCAGCTACTCGGGAGGCTGAAGCACGAGAATCTCTTGAACCTGGGAGGCGGAGGTTGCAGTGAGCCGCCAGCCTGGGCAAAAGAGTGAGCCTCCATTTCAAAAATATATATATATTTTAATATAAAAAAATTAAAAGATCTTACCCCAAACTTCTAAGCAGTGCTCAAAAGCCTTGGAATCTTAAGTCCCCATGGGACGCCTGGTGCTGACCACTGAGGCCTGCAGTACAGGGATATGGTACTGAACTGAGGCCCTGGAGACGGACCAGCTGGGCTGGAGGCCTGGTGTGGCCTCTCACTAGCTCTGTGACCAACTCCTCACTCTGCAAAACTGGAATCACGGGCCCAGCTCATAGGTCTGTTGCAAGGACTACATGAAACCCCAAATGATGAAATCGGTAAATGTTATTATTATTACTAACACTAGCTGACCATTCTTTTGAGGCAGCAGAGCATCATGGCTAAGAGCACAGAGGAAGCACTTGGGTGCAAATTCCAGCTCCTCCACTTGTCCTGTACCCTCTCGGTGCCCGTTTTCGCATAGGCAATCGGGGGCTGGTTATAATCATATCTACTCCCAGGGTAGTGGTAAGGATTAAATCACTATGCAGATACAAACAGAACATCCTCATGGCTCATGGGAACTGCTATGCTAGCGTTGCTGTTATTCTTATTATCTTTTTTTTTTTTTTTTTTTTTTTTTTGCGATGGAGTCTTGCTCTGTTGCCCAGGCTGGAGTGCAGTGACGTGATCTCAGCTCACTGCAACCTCCGCCTCCTGGGTTCAAGCAATTCTCCCACCTCAACCTCCCAGGTAACTAGGATTACAGGAATATGCCACCATGCCCAGCTAATTTTTTGTATTTTTAGTAGAGAGAGGGTTTCACCATGTTGGCCAGGCTGGTCTTGAACTCCTGACCTCAAGTGATCCACCCGCCTTGGCCTCCCAAAGTGCTGGGATTACAGGTTTGAGCCACCACACCCAACCTCCCAGTTTTCGATTTTGTCCTGATACCATTCTCTACTCAGCAACCAGTGTGAACCTGTGAAGAACAGAGCCTGGCTGGACGCAGTGGCTCACCCCGTAATAATAATCCCAGCTACTCAGGAGACTGAGGCAGGAGAATTGCTTGAACCCAGGAGGCAGAGGTTGCAGTGAGCTGAGAACATGCCACTGCATTCCAGCCTGGGCAACAGAGCAAGACTCCAAAAAAAAAAGCAAGAGAGGAAGAAAGAGAGAGAAGGGAAGGAAGGAAGGAAGGAAGGAAGGAAGGAAGGAAGGAAGGAAGGAGTTAATGGATCATTGTGAAGCATTTATCATTTTGTGTATATGTATTTTTTGTTTATGTAAGTGGTATTGTAGTCTGGGTACAGTGGCTCACGCCTATAATCCCAGCACTTTGGGAGGCCAAGGCGGGAATATCACTGGAGCTCAGGAGTTGGAGACCATCCTGAGAAACATGGTGAAACCCCAGCTCCACAAAAAAATACAAAGAAAATTAGCTGGGCATGATGGTGTGTCCCTGTAGTCCCAGCTACTTTGGAGGCTGAGGCGGGAGGATCACCTGTGCCCAGGAGGTTGAGGATGTAATGAGCTATGATCGCACCACTGCACTCCAGCCTGGGTGACAAAGTGAAACCCTGTCTCAAGAAAAACATACAAAATAAAACTGAGTACAAAAATAAATAAATGGTATTGTATATATGTAATTTGCATAAGCAGTGTTGATCTCACTTTTGTTCCTTACTCATTTCTTTCAAAACTGTGTTTTAGGATTTTTAAAATTTATTTTATTTTCTAGAGATAGAGTCTCACTCTGTCACCAAGGCTGGAGTGCAGTGGCATGATCATAGCTCACTACAGCCTCGAGCTCCTGGGCTCAGGTGATCCTCCTACCACAACCACAACCTCCTGAGTACCTTGGACTACAGGCATGTGCCACCACACCTGGCTACTTTTAAAATATATATATTTTTTTGGAGAGACAGAGGTCTCACTATGCTGCCTAGGCTAATCTTAAAGTCCTGGCCTCAAGGACTCCTCCCGCTTAAGCCTTCTCAAAATTCTGGAATTAGGCTGGGCAAGATGGCTCACGCCTGTAATCCCAGCACTTTGGGAGGCCGAGGCAGGTGGATTACTGAGGTCAGGAGTTCAAGACCAGCCTGGCCATCATGGTGAAATCCCATCTCTACTAAAAATACAAAAATTAGCCAGGTGTGGTGGCACACACCTGTAGTCCCAGCTACTCAGGAGGCTGAGGCAGGAGAATCGCTTGAACCCAGGAGGCAGAGGTTGCAGCGAGCTGAGATCACACCACTGCACTCCAGCCTGGGCGACAGAACAAGACTCCATCTCAAAAATAAATAAATAAATAAATAAAAGCTGGAATTAGGCCGGGCGCAGTGGCTCATGCCTATAATCCCAGCGCTTTGGGAGGCCGTGGCGGGAGGATCACGAGGTCAGGAGATCAAGACCATCCTGGCTAACACGGTGAAACCCCATCTCTACTTAAAATACAAAAAATTAGCCGGCTGTGGTGGCAGGCACCTGTAGTCCCAGCTACTCAGGAGGCTGAGGCAGGAGAATGGTGTGAACCCGAGAGGCGGAGCTTGCAGTGAGCCGAGATAGTGCCACTGCACTCCAGCCTGGGTGAAAAAGCGAGACTCCATCTCAAAAAAAAAAAAAAAAAAAAAACACAGCTGGAATTATAGGCATGAACTACCATGCCCCATCTGTTTTGTTTTTAGAGACGAGGTCTCATATTGCCCAGGCTGGCCTCAAACTCCTGGGGTCAAGAGATCCTCCCGCCTTAGCATCCCGAGTATCTGGGATTGTAGGCACATGCTACCCTCCCCTGCTAGCACTTTTTGTTTTTTGTTTTTTGTTTTTGAGACAAAGTCTCACTCTGTTGCCCAGGCTGGAGTGTAGTGGTGCAATCTTAGCTTGCTGCAAACTCCACCTCCCGGGCTCAAGCAATTCTTCTGCCTCAACCTCCCAAGTAGCTGGGATTGCAGGTTTGCATCACCACGCCCAGCTAATTTTTGTATTTTTTTTTTTTTAGTAGAGAGTGGGTTTCACCATATTGGCCAGGCTGGTCTTGAACTCCTGACCTCAGGTGATCTGCTGGTCTCAGCCTCCTAAAGTGCTGGGATTACAGGCGTGAGCCACTGTGCCCAGCCTGCACTGTGTTTTAAAAGCCTTGTATATCCTGACCGTTGCATAGTGTTCTGTAGTTTCCCTTTGTATGCTTTACTTAATTCATCCTTCTGACAGGGGATGCCAAACTGGCTCCCAACTCCTGTTCTCACAAAGAACACCCCAGTCAATGCCCCTGCACATGCCTCTTTGTACACCTGCATGAGAATCTCTGTGGCCTACTTATCCAGGACTGAGAGTGTAAGGTCTTGGCATAAACATACACCTAATTTCAGATTGCTTGAGAGAAGGGCTGTGTCAGTTTACGTGCCTACAGAGGACCAAGGATTTCTGTCTGCCCACATTCTCACCAAACATTGACATTATTCACCTTATGAATTTTGACTAAACGTGTGGTCATAAAATGATGTCTGGTTTTTGTTTTTGTTTTTGTTTTGAGACGAATTCTCGCTCTGTC